AGAAATCCCTCACTTGTAATTCATTGGGTACACTAAGTACCAAGAATTCCATTTTATTTTAATATTGCATGATTGTCAAAAGATAAGCTAAAAAATTTTTTTAATAGGTAGTTTTGTACAGTTCTGCAATGAGAGAAAAATTATGGTCAGAGTATGGTAGAATATAGTAAAATTCGTAGTATAGTAATATAGTAGCATAGTGTAGAATTATAAAAAAGTACCAGAAAATAATAAAATTTACCGTGTTTCTAGCTATATGAGAACACCAAAAAGATGAAAAGTTTTATCGAAATGCTCTGGAAATGTTTTGGTAAAATTAAAAATAAAATATGGTTTTAGAATACGTGATAAAATTTGTTAATTTCATCATGATACCTAATAGCATTGCAAAAAAAAATAAATTATTCGATTAAATTTACTTTTTAGTTTTGCATTTTTTTAAAATTAAATGTGTGATAATAAGAGCTATAATTTTAAAAACCAGTTTTTCTGGTGAATGAAGGGGAAAATCACCAGACTAAAGATTTAAATACAGTATATATTTTGTTTTTTAAACCCAGAAATAAGTTTTTTATTTATTTATTTTTACAAGAAATGTCATTGCCATAAACTATGGTAATTTTATCAGAATAATATTTCTTCGCGTTTGTAATACTTGTTTTATGAATTTCCAGTTTTAGAAAATTTTTAGAATGTGCATCGTGTATACCTGTCTTGGCCGTAAACCGAATCGCGCCAGCAACGCAGCTATGCTACAATTTAGTGTGACAAATCAATTTCGTTCTATTTTTTCCTCAATCAATTTTACTTTTTCAATCGTCAATTTATTTAAAATTAAATGCAGTCGCACATTCATTTCTCACAGAGGGAAGGGGGGATACAGCTGAGTACATCTAATTAATTTCAGATTCCTAATATAAACTCATCATTTTGAGGCCCGACGCTGTCACAAATTATCAATACCATGTCAAATATCATCATTCATGAAAAAAAATCATTAGCAGCACCTGCCTATGAAGATAAAAAAATAATAATAAATAACAAGCATTCCTTAATCATTATTATTTCACTTCATAATAGCAAATGACGAAAAACGATATCTGGCTTGTTCAATTGAATCTGGTTTAGTTAAAAACGCATCTTCCAACTGCAGAAATCGATGGTACCTCTATACGAGTGTTGCTCGAGAATATTAATGATTTTAACTGTCGATGAGTCCCATCACGCGACAAGTTGGTATTCAATAAACTCTTAACAACGCCCAGTAGCAGTAAATGTTGGTGTTTATGCAAATAAGACTCTTTGCAAGAGGTCAATAGAATCGATTAATGTTGGCAACAAGCGTTCCACGTTTTATTTCTTAATCAGTAGTGCTGTTGTACGTCTGCATTGTGAAATAGTTATTTACTTTTCATGTTTATTATATGCGTTTATTTCATAAATTATTTTCGCATGTGTGATTAATGTAAAAACAATAAATCATTTATTTTTTATCGCTAAATAAAGCAAATAGTATTTAAAATAATACTTAGTTTAAGTGTGCAAAGAAAAAAATTCTGGTAAAGTTACCGAATTGTATAGTAATAACATTCCTGGTACATAAGTCTTAATTTGATAATTCATATGATTATGGTTAAACGGAACTGATTATCACACATCTATTATACATAATAGAAAATTGATAAGTAGGGTTAACCGAGTGAATTATTTTTTATGCCATATTCTAAAATGTGATAAAATTTTTATCACATTTTGTAATTTTGTGACTGTGTAACTGTGATAAAATTACAAAATTTTATCACATATAACAATTATATAAAACGATATTGTTAATTTTTTCTAAAAATTATTACCAAGCAGCTTCGATAAAAATTACCAACCTTTTTGGTGTTCCCATAGACATAGTTGTGGTAGCTTTGAACACTACTCGGTGTGCTGTGACGATAGTATTATTATTCACTACCTGGAAATTCGTTAAAGCAAGGTTAGAGATTAAAACAAAATTAATTTCCAAGTCAATTTTAGCAGTGAAACTTCGATATTCCGACTGCAAAAAGAGAATCATTTTTTTTTCTCAATTTTTTCCGCCAGACTGATACTGCTTTTCAATTTCGAAAATATTGGATAAAACTTTGCAGCATAAACAAGAACACTAAGTACTTTTTTATGAACCCTTTCTTGCTGCATCTTTTTAAAGAATTTTTTTTTTTTTTTTTTGGAAAGAAAACATTAAAAACCTTAAAGGAAGGAAAGAAAATTTTGAAACGTATTTTTATTTTTAATCTATTTTTTTTTTTTTTTTCGAATTTGTTCATGAACAATTTTAAGTGAGATTTCATTTTTAAGTAGTAAAAAAAAAAAAAAAAAAAAAAAAAAAAAAAAAAAAAAAGAATCGCATCTTTGTTTCATATTAAAAAAAAAAAAGTACATAATAATTAAATAATAAAAAGGAATTTTTGTTACTTTTCTAACCAATGATAATTTCTCAAACAAATATTGATGATGGCATATAGTAGCAGAATCTAAAATCAAAGGTAACTTCTAAACAGTTGATAATTAAAAAAGCTATTCGTAATTAAAAATTAATTCATACACAACACACACAATCTATACTTTATATTTCAACTTTATTTTTCCTTTTACTCTGAAGATATGATTTATGTATTCTTTAGTTAGTAATATTATGTTATTTTTATGTATATTAAACAGTTCATATATCAGAGGCAAGTGTATTTAGTTTAGGATATATTGTTCCAGTTTCAAGTGCTTCTTTTTTCGAAAATTTTTTATTGTTGTTTCAATTTCTTTTTGTGATCATTAGTGGTGTGTCGTAGACGTCTGTACTTTCCTAAAAGTATTACAGATTTCAAAAGTATTACTATTTCATATGATGATAGATAATAGATAGATGATAGATAGAAAAATGTTACTGTTGTTTTATTTTCATTTTGCGATCAGTAGTGGTGTATGCTACTCGTCTATACTTTCCCGAAAGTATTGCAGATTTCAAAAGTTAATATTTTATATGACGATAAATATATCATGATAGATAAAGTTGATCGTTGATAGACATAAGCTATTAAATGATAGGTTATGTCTATCCAAAAACATACTTATATGTCTTTCCAAATGTCCAAATGTCTTTCATATGTCTTTCCAAAAACATACCAAAAAATATGTCGTATTTGCAGAAGTCAATTTATTGTTGTGTTGATGTATATTGACTCGTAATGAGTTAAATGACGTTAGTTTAATTTTTTTTCGTGTTAATAGACATGAGTTGAGAATTGATAGTTCATGACGAATCTTTTCAAAGATATTACAGTACAGATTTCTCAAAAATATAACTATATGTCAAATTAATTTATTCAACAATATATACTGACAAGTTAAAAGTTCAATGAAGTTTATGTTAGGTTAAGTGTCGACAGAATTCATACGTTTTGAAGCATTAAAAAAAAAATTTAACACTAAATATTTATAATAATTGATGTTATAAAAATGTATCCTGAGCGCCACTAATGTATCACATAAAATTATCCAATGTTGATAAAACAGACATTTATAATTGATATTAAAGATAAAAACTTTTTATGTTAATGTGCTCTTTAATTGAAAACAACATTTCTTTAAAAAAAATTTTATGGATTTTTCGTTTTTTTTTAAAGTTTATAATTTACATTATATTTTTTGCACATTGTTATTTTGTATCGAATTTGAAGTCTGAGGTTAAAATGAAGCCATAATTGTATCTTTCAACTCTACAATTTCTCTTGCTTTTAAAATATTTCTTATTAATTATTCCATCGCTTTGATAGATATGTATGTATGCGTTAAAAAAATTTCAATCTTTTGAAAATATGAATTTCAATGTTAATGCAAAAAGAACTAATTTTATTAAGTTGAAAAAATTTAATTTAAATTTATTGTTATGTTTGTGTATGAACAAAATATACGTTTAGGAATGTTTGTTTCCAATTTTATAAGATTCTGAGTAAAAGATTTGAATTTATCGATGGAATTTTTATGTCTTTTTAAATTCACGTCTGTCACTAATCTCTGTTTCTTTCTTAGCCAGCGATTCTCAATTGTTGTTTTTATTTTTGTAAAATAAAAGTATTCAATGAATGTTAAAAAAATTCATTTATGGAAATTAATTAGGATGTAATTAATATTAATTGATCACTATTATTTTGCTGTGTTAGTAAATATTATTATTAATATATTGGAAAAAGTTACAATTCTTTTTTTTTTAATTTAAAAGTATTAAAATTTAGTGAAATAGTTTTCTTAATTTAAATTTGAATATATAATCTATCACATCTGAAAAGTGACAGAATCTTTATAATTATTAAAGCTTAGATTCTTTTTTAAGATAAAGGAAAAAAATTTGTGTGCTTTTAAATTTTTAAAGGATGAAGACAAAAATTTAAGAAATTACAGCTATTCATAAATTTTACAATTTACAAGCGAACAATTTAAAATTAATAAAAAAGCATTCACCTAGTCATAGCGAAAAATTTCATTTTTTAAATTATAAACTATTCAATTTATTTTTTATTAATTACTATTATTATAAATTTTTGATTTGTGAAAAAATGTTACAAAAATTATTAAGTTTAATATTATAATTAAAAATTAATTAGAAATAAAGTAAGAATATCAAAAAAATACCAGTTTCTTCACCTAAAAACGATCAATCATGATAATTCAGAAATGTTTCTGTACATGTTTCCACACGTTTTTTTTAAACACTTAGTTTCTATATCATTTAATGTTAAAAATTACTCCCCCATGTTGTAATTAATTGAGAGTCGCTGCAGAAATTCTTTTTTTTTTCTCTCTAGTACTTTTTTTATTCTATCTCCTTCCTCCCCTTTCAGATATTGGCTGAAAACCCTCAGTACACATCAGACGACGAGTTAGATACACTTGTAAGTATTTTTCAGTTTTTTCTTTCGCACTTTTCCTTATTTCGCTTTTTTTGTGTTACTTTACAGATTAGACAAGAAAAACCATATTATTCTCCCAATCCCGAGTTAGACAGTCTTGTAAGTATTTTTTGTTTGTTTTTTTATTTTGTTTTGCTATCCAAGTGAGCTGTGGACATTTACCTCTATTAATCTGTATCTTTATATGGTATCTGTGTATTCTTTCATCCGATTTTAAGCCAACTATCGCATTTATCACACATTGTATGTCTTGAAACTTTTGAGGAAAATATTATGTAAAATGAATGATTGCGAGAAACTTCAAGTTAAAAAAAATATGGGTATTTTTCCGAATGGAAGCCAAGAATTTTCAGAAAATGTTTTAGAAGCTTAAGTTTTACAAAAGGTTTACAATCGAGTTTAAAAAAGGTTTACAATCGGGTCCACTTACTCTGAAAAATTCCGGGAGGACATCACCAATAGAAATAATTCTCCTTTTGTCGAGTTTGTCAGTGAATATCGCGAAACGTACATACAAAATATAAAAATAACATGAAATAATAGTTGGAAAAGGAATACCTAAATATAATAATTGAAAAAGAAACAAGTAAAAAAAGGCAATATGAAAGAGATATTACTATTTTTTAATCTTCTAATTGCGAATACGGAAGGTGCATGCTTTTTTTTTACCCACTATGCAAACGTTAATACAAGAGAAGTGGTGAATTTTTATTTCCAAGCGTAAATTTTTTTTTTTTTTTTTTTTTTTGCATGCACAAATTCCGAATTTTGGGCAAATTCCCAAATATAAAGCGCACTTTTCGGCTTACGCACAAAAAAACTTATATTCAGAATTATACAGTTCTTGTCTGTGGAAAAAATTCACTAACTTCAAAATTCGTGTTGAAAAAGTCAGCATATTTTGAACTCTCAAAGCAAGCACCAATCATCCAGATCTAGCAGCATGTAAATGACAAAACAGAACAGATTTGAAAAAAAAAAAGAAAGGCAATGTTGATATTTAAAACAGTTTACATTTTAAACGTCTTCGTTGGCAACATTGCATACTGTTAGGTGTTTATTCTGTTAGGTGTCCTCATCTGTTAGGTGTTTATTCTTCACCTGTTGGTGCTTCCTAATAATGGGCGTTTGTTTTGTGTGCTATGAACGTGTCGACTTTTTTCTCTTAAATTTTAAAGCTAATGAAGCTTTTTCATTGACAAGTAAATATTATGAAATTTCTACTGCAATCGTCCAATTTTTTTTACGGTAAATTATACTTTAAAAGTATTCTAAGTCAACGGAGGTCTATGGTAGCTTTCTTCTCATTCACTCTTACACTTCGGCCGTTTTTAACTAATATATTTTTGTTAATTTTAAAACCGGACACATTGTTTGACGAGAGGAGTACAATGTTAGCTAAATTTGTCAAGACACTAGCTAGGAATCAAAATAAAACATTTTGGCCACCAAACCAAAGGAATTGAATGCCTAACTGATGTTACGTTCAATCTAAAGTTATTTAAAAAAATATTTAATTAGCTTGATTTTATTATCTGATGCTTCATTTTATTCTATTATTTTATTTCATTTATTTAATTTTTACTATAGTTTCTTGATAAGCTTTGGCTTAAAATGTAATCAGCTGTCATTTTTGCTCCTTTGATTTTAATTGAATAATGAAATTTTTTGTAACTTTGCTAATTTCTTTTAACTTTTATGATTCACTGTTTTCTTCATTTTTTTTTTGTATAGTATTAGGACAACATTCTTTTCTAACTGTGTATTATAATCAGCAATAAGATTAATTATGTAAATGAATTATTAAGAAGAAAATTTTAATATGTGTTTATCCCTTTTAAAACGTAAATTTTAAAAACTAGCTCAGATATGATATGGGTTCTTTTAAATTGTAAGGAATTTCACTTCATGTTATTACTGGAAGGAAAACTATTTAAGCAATAGGGATTTTTCAAGTAAAAGGGAAAAATATTTTCCCTCTTTAGAAACAAATAGGAATTCAGATATTTTATCATTTTGCTACATTCTTTTCTCCAGCCATATCTTTCCCTTTTTCTTTTTATAAGAAAATAGAAGATATGGAAGATAATTGCTTTTAAAATGAAATTAATTAAGCTAGTCAGAAACTTTGGTACATTTGATCTTAACAAACAAATTTAAACAAAAAGGAAAAAAAAGTACATGGGTAGAAATATTTCCAGCTTACTTTTGTTTAGCATAAAAAGTGCATTTGCGTAGTTGCGGAGATTTTCTTACAAAGAGAAAACACAATTAAGAACTTGGTGTAAGAATTAATTGTGAAACAGGAAAAAAAAATAGTTACATCCAAAGAAACTGAACAGTGGTGCACAATTGGGACCACATGTTTCGCTTGCGGTACTTTTGCGTAATGTTTCGTGTTGGATAAGGAAAACTCTTCTCTGCTTTTAATTATCCAATTCCCATAGCACATTTTCCCGCGCCAAACATTAAGAACAAAGAAACATTCGAAAACGATGAGCCTGAGACGAAATGTGCTGTAAAAGTAGGGTTAGGTCCTTCTATTTGTTAATTAAACAAGGCCTCTGGGCTCTGCTCGCGCGAGAAGTAAAAATAGATAATTGAAAGCATAATTTGCGCTTTCTGATGAGTTTTCATTTCCAAGAATATTGCTTTTAGAAGAGTGACGCACGGAACGCGATCTCGCGGCAGTGGTTTTGCTACCACTCAACTCCACTCGAATTATCATGGCGGATCATATATATTTTTTTTAAAAGAATGGATTTTGCTATTATGGTTTGGTTGGGATATAATGAGTGTTTGCAAGTTTCGCTTACGAGGTGCTTATTATTTAAACTGCTTGTAATGCCGCTCTCGTGCGACCGAATTTGTTTTAAATGGAAACGATGCTGTTTAATACATCTAATTAGGAAAATGAAAGAGAGCGTAAGGAAAGTTTTTGAAACAAATTGTTCAGCTGGGTATTTAATTAGCCTTTTCCCATTTTTGTGTTTCCGAAGCTGACATGTTTCGATGTGTAAAAGATAATCGCATCTATCGCTTTACGGAAACAACTGTACGTGAGGGACCTCCCATCATAATAAAATTGCTATTAATTAGATATTTCCATGTTTAAATTTTGCATTGTAATTCATAATTTAATTTTAAAGTAATAGTAAAAGTGCGTTTTAAATTTCGTTACTTTAGACCATTATCATTTATGCATTTGTTTTGATTATAAATCATATTTTCCAAAAGTACCAGCGATTCTCTGATAATATATAAATATCACTTGCTGCAAAAGCTGGATGGAGTCGATGTGTTTTTCGAATGCTCAAAATTAATCGGTATTTCTCAAGACTTACCAAATATGAATGATGAAAACAGTTGCCAAAGAAAAAAAAATGAAACTAGAAAAATCATGATAGCAGAGAACGCCACATCAGGGCTTGGGGCATTTCCACCTAGTATGGAGTGGTGTTGAAAACTCGTGTGGTTTACAAGACAATCAGCATTCATATCAATGAAACAAGATTCCAGAATATCTGGATGAGTTGATGAGACGGGAGTTAAAAGAATTTTAGCACAATCGAAATTAAATTTAAGAACGAAACACGGTTTTGGCAATGAACTGCAATCGATGATTTATTGAATTCCTGATGATGAGCATATCCATCGTGTTTCTTTAATTAAAATTTTTAACCGACATAAGTTTTAATGTTATCAAGAATATCTTTCCGCTTCAGTTGCTTAGGATTATTCATTTAATACAGTTGCTTAGCATAATTATTTAATATTAGCTATAGTGTTACATTAAAGGATTATATCATCTGATATTCCAATAGAAAATTATCTTTCGTATGACAAACTTTTTCTACATCATGCTTATCTTATCAATAAAAACAATCATTAAATCTTTACTAAAATGATAGGCTGTAGATAAAAATTGAAAACAATATGCAAACAGTTTCTCGTAACTAATCGAAAAATGCACGAACTGATCCGTATGTACTAAGTTACAAACCGTTATTTTATCTTCATAAATAAATTAATGTTTATATTTTGGTAATATAAAATAACAACTGTATTGATACATAAACATAAAATTTAAGGTTGATTCGGGAACAATTGCAGTGTTCTGAGTTAAGAAAGTCGTGAAAGTACTGTGAGTTTAAACTACCACGCCGATTTTAAAAACAAACAATCGTGTATAAGTTGAAATAGTTTTTTTTTCCCCTCCATCAAAGCTCATCTCAATCCAATTGAAAATTATGTTTAAGTCAAGTTATGTTTGTTTTATGTTATGTTATGTCATTTACTTCCTTCTAAATGGCAACCACACTAGGCAAGAGTTCTCACTCAGTTAAGAAGAAAAAAAAGTGTGGGAACTTAGTTGTGAACTCCATATTTTCTGATTACAGTGTTCTTAGTATTCGTGGAAGAAGTGTGATTTCGAGCAATCACGCTAATTCTAAAAACCAGCAATCGCGTATAAGTTTAAATAGCTTTTTTCCATTAAAGTGCATTAAAATCCAATGGAAAAGTATGTTAAGGCGCACCAATTTACTTCGGTCAAAATGGCAGCTATATAAGGCAGAAAAAATGGAATGCTCACACAATTTAAATGTTTAAAGAATTTAAAAAAAAAAAAAAAAAGGCGGGAATTTAGTTGATTACCCAATATTTGCATTAATGGTATCAGTGTCTGTTAAAAACATCGAGGAACAGATTTTAAAAACGAACAATCGCGTTTAGATGGCTTTTTTTTCCGTTTAAGTGCATTCCAATCCAGTGAAAAAGTATGTTAAGCCACCTTAATTTATATCCTTCAAAATGGCAACCACACTAGTTTGACCCAAGGTCGAGGACTATCCAGCAATCGAAGCAGTTTCTGCACGTTCATGAGAAGATTCGTAGGGGTGGAGGTAAAAACACGTTTTGCTAATATGGATGGAGTTTTATGAATTATTTATGAATAAGAAGAAAGTGCTGTTTTGGTGAACAATAAAACAAAATATGTAACTCTCGTCCTTCTGATGTTTTTGTTCCATAAAATAAAAAAAACTCTTTGATAGAACTTATCAATGTTTCCAGAGAATATCAATTATATCACGTTTCCAAAATTTTCATTTTAATCAGCAATTAAATATAAGCAACATGCCTTCTTTTTGTGCAACGATATTCTAAAAGGATCGCTAATATTCTTTTTTTTAAAAGTTTCCGATTTATTTATAATTTCTTGAGATGAAATATCAAACATATCACGTTTATTAGGATTTTCATTTTAATTAGCAATTAAATAAAAAGGAAAATGCTTTATCTTTATCCAATAATATTCTAAAATGGTCGCTTATGGTATTTTACAATTATGTTTTATTTATTATTTTTCAGATCCAAATGAAAAATCAATTATATCACGTTTTCCAAATTTTTCTGAAAACAACCAGCCTTTTCTTTATAAAGCATTCTTAAATGATGGTTGATATTGTTTAGTAAATGTTTCTGCTTTATTTTGGATGGAATTTATCAATTATATCACGATTTCAAGTTTTTTTTTTATTTTTTTTGTTTATTTTTTTTTTTTTTTTAGCAATTAAAGGAATTAGCTTCTGTTTTATGCAGTAAAAGCTTTAAATAATCTTTGACATCATTTTACTATTAGTACTTTTTTTAATGTTTCTCTTCTATTTATTTATTTTTTTTAGATGGTTCAAGCGATTCAAGTATTAAGGTTCCATTTATTAGAGTTAGAAAAGGTAAGTTCATTATTACCATCATTTCATGTTTAAAAAATAACTCAATGAGTTAAATTTATGTTTTATTTTAAATATTTATTGGCAAAAATGCGTGTTTTATTGATCCATTATGAAAAGGATATATTTAATTTTTTCAAAATAATTGTTTTAATCTCTGTAACTTAAGATCATAAAATTTGCTTTACATTTAAGATACGAGTTATTAAATTGTTTAAAAAGTAGGAATAAAATTTTCAAAAATGATACTTTTGATGTATTTTAATTTGTATTTGAAATTAAATTGCTTCATTATCCATTAAATTTATGTCTGTAAAAAATAAATTATAGATGCGTTTTAATATCATAATGGTATTTATTTTTCACGTAAACTTTTAACTGTTATGCATTTTGAAAATAATCGTTTCATTTATCTAATGAAATTATGTACATTTTCTTCTGTAATTAACTAAGATAATTACCCATGAAAATCGTGTTGTTGCGTTTATCTACATTATCGAGAAAGTTTATCATTCTTTACTATATGACATTAGGGTAAAACCATAAGAAACATAATTCAGCATACGCTAAAAAGAAGGCAGCATATTATCGGGCAAATTTTCTGCTATCTTAAATAGTGTCCAATAGACTAGTGTAAGCTGGATTTTGTAATCTTAATGCAAGGTCTTACTTGCAATTTTTTTCACGATTCTATGGTTTTATTTAAACAGGAACAGAGTTTAATTTATTAAGATAGCGGCGGACTTCCCCCAAAAAAAGTGCCTATAATAGAATTCAAAATTGAACTAATTTTACCACGAGTGTATGTTAGATACCAATTATGTAATGGGACTTAGACCGAGAAAACAGAATCTAGAATATACAGCAATTAATCTTATTAACGAAAAGACATAGTTTCTACTAAATTTACCCCTTTTTTTTTGTTAGAAAGACATAAATTGATACTTTGATTTCTTACTTAATGCGTTACATTTATTTATAGTCATTTGTTCCTGTTTAAAAAAAAGAATGTAAGAGGACTGATTCCCCATTGTAATCGTAGTGTAAAATATCACACGCATAGTCGATGCTTATTGCACAAGTTGATTCCAAACTAGCTTCTTTAATTATATCCAGACACTTTTTTTTCTCCCCATTCTTTTCTATTTAACACGAAAATAAAAAAATTAAAAGATCGAGAAAAATAAGAGTTAACTAATGGATGGAATTTACATTCTTTATTGGAATTCAATGCAAAGGAAATAAAAAAAAAGAAAAGGTGATCGATGACGTTCGAAAAGAGGAAAAAAGAGTTTGGTATGACTTAGAAACACATCCATCCTTTTACACAAGGATAACAGATGAGACAGTGGACGTCACCAAGAATAAAATAATAAGAAGAGCGCACTCATTTCCTTGTTTCAGGGCTCCCTTCTCCTGACAGTGATTGAAGACTTCAATGCCCCTTTCTCTTGGTAGAAACACTGCGAAATGCAAGTTCTGGTGACAGCTAGAATCTTCTTTCGGAATTTTTCTTGACCTCTTGCATGGCCCAAAAGTGTGATTTGCCAGTAAAATGCCCCATGGAACCCTTATTAAGATTCTAATATGTTTCTTTAGGTCATTTGCTTCGGAATTAAATTATTTTTTGGGTCTCTTGATTGGATGGACGCTGAATAAGCAACATTCTGATGTTGTCCAACCGTTCCACGTCAGCTTTGCTTGATGAATCATAGGAGCAAGTGCTTGAAGGAACTTCGAGATATTAATTATATCACGTATTTGCTAGAGTTAAGCCACTGTTCATTCAAACCATATTTTATAATTAAATTCAATCTATTCCATAAACACTCGTTGCTAGGATTAAGGTCCATCGAATCAAACGTATTGGTTCAAATCGATCAAAACAATTCATTTGAGGGATTTTTTTTCGCCTTGTTGTTCTATTTGCCTCGACTGCAAATGTGGTGCCATAGATAGATCTTATGCCCACGTTTAAAGAAATATATACTCTCCATGTAGGCAAACATATGGTTTCGAATCGAATCAATCAGTTAGTTTGAGTGATTTTGATTAGCCATGCGAATAATAGCATAAATCAAATATTTAGAATCATTGCTCTATTTGCCTCGACTGTATAGGTGATATCCCAGGCAGAGCAAGAGAGAGCATATGCCTAAAATGCATTACTTGAGATTTTTATCAGTGTTTGAATGGATAAACTAATTTCAATTTAAATAAGCTGATTCGATTTGTTCTTAAATTAACAGACTTGAGTTATTGATTTGATTTAAAATAAAAGGATAAGGCGAATCATTGCAGCCGTTAAAATTATTGAAAATATTTAAAATAAAAATATTAAAAAAAAAAAAAAAAAAGCTTAGTTGAATTATGATTTTGCAAATTGTCTCATTAGTTACGAGAACCTCTTTCAGAAAAACTCAAACTTTTTAAACTGACACAGCACCAAAAAAATCGCGTAAAGTCAGTTGCGGTTAATAAATTGTGAGTTGTACAAACAATAAGTCCCCCCTTTCTCAAATGTTTGTTACTTGTAATCACGTATCTACAGCAACCTGTGAAATCGATTGGCAAAAGTGTTTTTGCCCCTTACAAACAATCATGGATGCAATCATTGGAATGAAGTCCCATTTCTGGGCAATGTGTTTGTTCCAAGTTCACACTGGTAATCAATTGAGGTAGAAAAATGTTTTCTTTTTGTTCTCCCACACTATCGTTTTCTCGAACAACAATTGTTAGTTTTCAGTCCAAGTGTTTTTCTTCAACTGCCCCATTAGTATCACGCAATGCTTTTCGATGTTCTTTAATAACGAACAAAACTTTTTCTTCGCGGAGTTTGTTAGTTGGTCACGATTACCTGCTGTTGTGTTCAATTGATATTTTCAGTTATATTTTGATAGTATATCTTGTATTAATACTAGCATGTATCAGTAATTTTAATAAAGTAGATGTTTTTTATTTACTTATTTTTTCTTCACTTACATTTTCGTATTGATTGTTTAATCTCTTAATTTTTTTTCATTATTCAAAATCAGTCCAAAATCGCTGGATTGAAACTTCGTTTACATTACATGTAACTATGGCCTTTTTTTTTCATCATTCTCACTGTAATCGAATGAAAACCTGATTAGTGAAATTATTCACTCACAAAATATGCCACTAACAAATTCTCGTTCTCCTGCTAAAAAAATTTTTTTATACATATATACAATATATATGTCATGCAATAATACTGTGATTTGTACGGAAGTTTTTGCGCATGCGCTGTGAATCTTAAATATCTTTCTAGAGTTAAAGGAAGCCGTTGTGCTTTGCAAAATCTCTCTCATCATCTACTTTAACCCAAACATAGTTCAAACTTAATAAGGTATTATATTAAAATATGCTTCCGTATGTAATCTGAGTATCTTCTAATACATTTTCAGGAATAAGAAAATATGGTTTAACTTAGCATCATATCGGATTCAGTAAATTTGGACGATGTCTAACTCATTTCTACCTGCTTTCCTTGAAACTAGTTTTTCAGCTTGCTTCTTCAAATAAATTTATGTTACTTTTTTATTATTATTAAAATTAATTGAGCAAATTGTTTGCAATTCACCATAATCAAAGCCATCCATTGAGTGAACTGTTTATTAATCCACCATCATTATATTCTAAAACCATTAAAAAAGTTTTTTGCAATGGGTTAGTTTAGCAAAAACTTTTGACTGCAATGCAATTGCCTGCAGCATACATTCTCAATGCAGGGAATGGAGTCATTTACCAATCAAGACATGCATTCATATGACCTATGGCATTTTCTTTTCATCCATGCCTGCTCGTGCAATAGCTGTTCTTTTTTTTATTCGAAATTTCAATGCCCCAATCTTATTCATGCTGTGTGTGTAATACTACAGCTGTTTTAGGAGGCCGTGCCGCCACTATGACATTTGATTGACAGTGGGGAAAATTAACATCCAGTTCTGGATTCACATACCCGCAACCGTCACTTAGAATCGAGATTGAAATGAGAGGGGAAAAAAATAAGTCCATGCTTAATACCCCATTCGTCCTTTCTGGAAATAATAGTTATAAAAATGGGGTATGCAAAAAAAAAATATGGGCGGCTATGGACGTTGAATTTGAAGAGTGAATATCTGACAGGTACTTATTAGAAACTTGCTAACTCTCATTGGTGCTTTTATTTTCTCTGTTTTTTCGTTTCCTTTATGTATCATAGCATTAAACCTTACCAGGGGGAGTGTTCTCCGAGTTAGTATTTTATGTGATGTTAAAAAGATTTCTATTATGTGCGTTTTTTTCCTTCTTCAGTTCATCCTGTCTGAATTGCTATTTCGAACCTAGTTTTGTGCACGTTCTATGCACGGAAGTTCTTTTTTTCACTCAAAAGAGATTTCAGTTTTATTTACTGTACTATACCTTTTCAACTTTTCCATTCTTATTTTCCAATCATATGATAGTAGCTGCTCTATACTGTTTTACTTCTCGTGGCCGGCTCCTTACTCTTGGTGAAAAGCTTGGTGAAGCCAAGTGGCATTAGGAAGAAGAAAAAAAACGACATTACCTAATTTTTTATTCCCTTATATGCGACGGTTTTTTAATAAGAAAATACGTTTCATAAGCAGCAGCTTCCTGCTCTTTCTGATATTCTTCAATTCACTAATGTGTTATTTTGAGACTTTTTTCGCTGAGCCTCTTCTAATGTTTGGTTTAGGAGCTAATCAGGCTATCGAAATTGGTGCAGGAGCTCATAAGGGCAGTCAAAAATCACATTTAAAAAGCTTAACTAGAAAATTTTAAAACTTTATTGAGATTGCTTTATGCACCAGGATCTATCAAATCACGAAAGGTATGTTTTATATCTTTGGCAAAATGAAAAAGTCTGGTTTTTCGCTAACTACGTCACCTAGTAATGTGTCTACAAGGCTCATTAACTAAAATTCCAAGCACTTATATTATATTATATATATATATATANATATTTTACCTGTAATTATGGCTAGATCCAATCAATAATTCATTATTTTTTTAATATTACGTTTATTTTTATGAAAATATTTTGGCAAAATGCCAGTGATAATATAGATATGCATATATTTTTCTAATAACAAAGTACTAATTGAATTATAAACATATATTGAAAATTGCATTAGTATTTCCCGTTAAACTTTTCATTTCAAAATAAAATAAGTCTAACAATAAGGAAATATGCTTCTCTAACAAACCATTCTCCACATTTTTATTAAAAAAAATTTTTGTACATTTTAACGAATTATAAATCAGCTTATTTTAATATTACTTTCAGTTCATTTTTTATTTAATATCATTTTTTTTTAGTTATAGGTACACCAAAAACAAATTTAATTGCGGCTCCAAGTCCATTAATTCAACAACCTTACATGGATCCTAATTTTTAGACTATTTTTGGCAAGACGATGAAAAATTCCATGTTCCACATTTATTATTCTAAAAAAAAATTTTTTTTTGTTAATATGTTTCTAATTGCTAATGAACTCTATTTATGACGTCGAGGTTCCGTCAAAAGAAGGTTTCCTTTTAGGATTCCTCAGAAATTATGAACCGCTGACCTACACTCATACTAAATCTTATATTGATAAACCATCTCATGCCTCAACCTTTCAGATAAAGTAATAATAATAAAAAAAAAAATGGCTAAGACGATGATTTATAGATTTTTTTTTTCAATCTTGAATTAGTTGCTGTGTTTATGCAGACATCTCCGCGGGAGAGAATGACTTTTTCTTCCCCCCCTTCCCAATTCTGTCCCCTCGCTCATACATTTATTTATTTTTTTTTTCTTCTTCTGTCACATGAAGGAAAGAACCGTTCGCATGCAAAACAGCACACGCCTTCTGTGTCTGTCCCTTTCACATGCACTGACTACTCTGATATGCAAAATACATTTTTTATTCTTCATTTCGTTTGAATTCGTCTCCGTTCACGTCAAAATACACGCCGAGTACGTGTTTAAAAGTAGACATTTTTTTCCCCTCTCTTTCCTGCCTTCTTTTGTTATAGTCTCAGAAAATAAAGTTTTTGGTTTTTATGCATTTTTATCAGTTTTTCTCTACCCCCCTTCCCTTCCTTCGTTCCTGATTTTTACGTTATCTGATGTTGACACGTGGCTGTGGATGGGTAAAAGGTAAATTCAAAAAGTTCTTTNTTTTTTTTTTTTTTTTTTTTTTTTTTTTTTTTTTTTTTTTTTTTTTTTTGAATTTAAATTTTCTTTTTTATCAAATCAAATGGGAAAGGTTTATTCAATTTTTATTGAATGAATTTTGCTGTTAGTTTATTCTAACAGTAAAAACATCTAAAATAGGTCTGTCGAAATACTGGCAACTCCAAGCGCACTATATATTTTATTAATTTTTAATTCTATGAACCAGTTTATGATTTATTCTAACAGTAAAAACAACTAAAATTGGTCTGTAGAAAAACTGGCAACTCCAAGAGCACTATATATTTTATTCATTTATTTATTTTTAATTCTATGTACTAGTTTATGATTTATTCTAACAGTAAAAACAACTAAAATTGGTCTGTCGAAAAACTGGCAACTCCTATAGCGCTATAAATTTTATTCATTTATTTATTTTTAATTCTATGAACTAGTTTATGATTTATTATAACAGTAAAAACAATTAAAATTGGTCTGTAGAAAAACTGGCAACTCCAAGCACACAATATATTTTATTCATTTATTTATTTTTAATTCTATGAGCTAGTTTATGATTTATTCTAACAGTAAAAACAACTAAAATAGGTCTGTAAAAAAACTGGCAACTCCAAGCGCGCTATATATTTTATTCATTTATTTATTTTTAATTCTATGAACTAGTTTATGATTTTATTCTAACAGTAAAAACAACTAAAATAGGTCTGTAGAAAAACTGGCAACTCCAAGCGCGCTATATATTTTATTCATTTATTTATTTTTAATTCTATGAACTAGTTTATGATTTATTCTAACAGTAAAAACAACTGAAATTGGTCTGTAGAAATACTGGCAACTCCAGGCGCACTATATATTTTATTCATTTATTTATTTTTAATTCTGTGAACTAGTTTATGATTTATTCTAACAGTAAAAACAACTTAAATTGGTCTGTAGAAAAACTGGCAACTCCAACAGCACTGTATACTTTATTCATTTATTTATTTTTAATTCCACCAACTACAACCTATATTCTTAGGAAAATATTCCTAAAACTGCATATTGTAGAATTAGGCAATGTCGCCAATCGAATGTTATGTCGGTTCATGCTGGAGTTTAAAGTCCAATCATGCAATGTGTCAAATTATTTTTCAATATTTGTAGTCCAGTGTTTCGCCGAACAATACAATGTTGTCAAGTATTGAACAGTTTGTCGGTTTATGTTATCAAGTATTGCCTCAAAAGATGCAATGCTGTCAAGTATAATTTTGAACTATGCTGGGTAATGTAGTATTATGTCGAATCACTCAAAGTTGTCATGTGTCGAATAATATGTCGATGTATGTTGTCAAGTATTACGTTCAATAATGCAGGCTATGTCGAATTTTGCTATGATTGGTTGTTGTGATGAAGTTTAAAGCCGAAAGATAAAATGTTGTCTATCGCCATTTCGAATATGCTGTGTTGAGTAGTGTTTTGTCATATCATGCAATGTCTCAAGTGTCGAATCGTGCGTTGATTTAATTTCTTAAGTATTACGTTGAATAATGCAATGTTGACAAGTGTTATGCCGAATTTTGCAATGATTATCGATTTATGCTCACAAGCTTAAGATCGAAATATGCAATGTTGTCTATCGTCATTTCAAATTATATTGTGTTGTGTAGTGTTATGTAGAATCATTCAATGTTTCCAAGCGTCGAATAATATGTCGATATATGTTGTCAAGTATTACGTTGAATTATGCAATGTTGTCAAGTGCTATGCCGAACTTTGCACTGAGAGTCGGTTTATGCTGTCAAGTATAACATCAAAAGATACACTGTTTTCAATCAACATTTCGAATTATGACGTGTTGTTTAGTGTTTCGTCAAATTATGTATATATTGCATGTACATGATGTATGTTATGTCGAATTATACAGAACTATAAAAGTTAATTATTTTTTTTCTTCAAAAATTGCAATTTCTATTTTTCCCTTCAAAATGCACATACGAATTCTTCAATCATAATGATTCTTTTATTTAAAACTACTACTTTATCTCATCCACTTCTAATGTAATAATAATATATTCATGATAACCAATAAAAAATCTCTCATCACCCCCAAAAGAAAAAGATCACAGGTCGGGGGATGTTGATGATTCTTTGGAGAGTGTAATATTTTGTCCTTCCTCAATAAGGCCTTTGCACCCACGAAAAGGGAAGTATCTCTTTCTCTCCCCCCCCGATGTCAAATAACAGATGACGAGGCGTTATTGCATTCCGACGAGGAAGGACCCATATACTGCTGTCACACACTTATGTAGTGACAATCTCTCTCAGGATGAGAGAAAGACAATTATTACCAGCTGTCTGACTTTGATGATGTCATGGCTTCTGCTGCCGATATACAACTGCACCGATCTCTGTTGTTATTCTTTTCTCTAAAGATTTATGTGTTCTTAAAGAGTTTGCTAGAGAAGATCAATCTCACAAATATTTCTTTCTTCTTCTTCAGCAACACATGAAAATAATTGTCTAGATTATTTTACTTTAAGCCCTGTTATTTATTTTTTGTTTTTAAATCTGGAATATATTTTTGAAAAGAATAGAATACTACTAAAAAATCTCCCTACCCTTCACTTTTTTTTTTTTTTTTTTNTTTTTGTTGTTTTTTTTTTTGAAAAAAATCAGAATAACTTTTTTTTTTTTTTTTTAAATTAATAAAGGTCTGATATAAAGTTAAATCAGACATCCATATGTTGACCAAAAGATTTCTTTTTCAAACAACAAAAAAATGTGCTTGATAATGTTAAAAAAAATTTTTTTCTTCTAAACTTATAAAACTGAAAGAATTCGTCATGTTTCGAGGGCTTGAAAGTAGGTGCCCATTGTCAAGACTCACCAGTCGCGAATGAGAAAAGAAAACGCTAAGTTGTCGACAAAAAAAAAAAAAAAAAATTAATGGAGATGGGGAAAAAATTAGAAAAACCCTGGTAGGTGAGAGAGGCAAATCATTGCAGGTTTCATATCCTAGTGCTGTGGATAGGTGGGGAAGCACTCTAGTGGATAGGTGGGGAGGAAGTGGCATTCGTATGATTGAAACAAGATGCTACAGTATTAAAATCATCTGATGTGACAGTGATATGTGGTCGAAGTTTGTCTTGATGATACAGTTGCTTCGATTTTTCCCCAAAGCCTAATTCAAATTAGAATACGTCATTATTTAAAATCATAGTAATTCAATCACATCTTAATCCCAAATAATTTGTAATTTGCTTTCTGAAAAAGAATAAATGATGTGAAAGATGTAATATTTGAAAATAATATTTATTTATTTATCATTATTTCCAAAATATTTGAAGTGTTTATAGAATGGTAAAGCAAAATGGGTCACTTACTAATGCTTTTTTTTTTTAAAAAAAAAATTGCCGCAAATAAAATATGTAGGGAAAAGAGCTACTTACACGAGAAATGTGTACAAACGTGATGCTGGTTTGGCTACTCTTTTGTGTCATTTATATTTTTTAAATGATGAATGTGTATTTTTTTCGAATGAATAAAAATTATAATTTATTTATTGTGTTTCAGGTACACGAATTGTGCGATAACTTCTGCCAGCGTTACATTAGCTGTTTAAAAGGCAAAATGCCAATTGATTTAGTCATCGATGAAAGGGACAGCAAACCTGGTGACTTGGGAGACAATAATAATAACAGCAGTAACGGTGGTGGTGGTGCTGGTGGTGGTAACAGTGGGGCAGGAGGTGGAAGGGGTAACCCTGACACCACTGGACACAGCTCAGACAACTCATCCACTCCAGACCAAGTAAGTACCTACATTTGCATTATTAAGTTAACTGAGCCTCGTTAATGTGAACATATTAGGCATGTATGATATTATGAGGTTATACACCGAAGAGCCATTACATTATGACCACCCTCCATCAATAACAATTGGCTCGTCCGGGTTTGCATGGTTTCTCGTCCAGGAACATTGTTTTCATGGGGCACATTAGGACCCATAATCCTCATAGAACAATCCCTGACGTCTGCAAACTACTTGAACGTAGTTGCAGACCAGGTTCACCCATTCATGGCAACAGTTTTTCCTGCGGGGATGGTGCTTACCAACAGGATAATGCACTTTGCCATAAGGGTCGAAGCGTCATGGATTGGTTCGAGGAACATTCCAGTGACTTTCAAGTCATGTCTTGGGCCCCCAAATTCATCTGACCTTAATCCAATAGAGCATTTGTGGTCCTACTTGGAAAACCAAATTCGTGCTGCCTCGCACGAATTTGGTTTCCCTCACAATGTGAGGGAAACCAACGCAATTCCCTCACAATGTGAGGGAATTGCAGGACCAGGGAATTGCAGTACCAGATACCTCAGACTACCTTGTGGAATCAATGCCACGGCGGATGCTAGCAGTTTTGAGGGTTAAATGTGGTCCTACATGTTATTAGCAGGGTGGTCATAATGTAATGGCTCTTCGGTGTAGATAAATGATTCCGATAATTCAAACGCGGATGAACAAAATGAACCGAGCAAACTAAGCACACGTTCAAGTGCTTTAAGTTGCATGAAACAAACAGACAAAATAACGCTACTCTTACAGCGTGAAGCTAGTACTCTAACAGCATGAACATGACTAAGTAAGTAAAACGCAATCTAAATGCATGCATTCCTATAACATGTAAAATGCCTTTTTAGGCACTTGGTACACCTAATACTAAACGCATTTTCAGACACTTGGAACAATAATAAGCACATTTCTAAGTAGTTTGCATACTTAACATATTTCAGAATAGTTTTAAAGCATCCCAACTGTTACACAATTTAAAATTGTCTTATGAATACAGTTACATATAAAGTTACATTAACAAGGCTCAGTCCACATTGTTTTCAAAATAATTTTCGCGCTATAATTTCTTACAATACGGTTTTTTTTCCCCTTCTTACGCATATTTTTTTTTTATCCAAATTGTTGTTGATTTTTATAAAATATGAGAAAAATTAGAAATAAAAACAAATATTATTTGGTACTGAGTTACTTGTGCATATTTTGAAAATTTCAATGAAAAACAATTAACTACTCCTATAAATTAAATGCCAATGTATTTTAGAGTTTTTTTTTTGCAGTTTATATGTAGGATTAAAAAAAAAAATCCGAAAAAGAGCGGAGAAACGATGGTAGTGATAGTTTAAAGTCCAGTAGGTCGTAATCTTAGAAGCAAAATCCATATTTCTATAATCGATGACAGTTTCCTTCAAATATTTTTTTTGCCAACTGATAAAAAAGTTTCCTATCAGAATGTTGCATTGATAACTCTGTTTACAGATACGATCTGTTTTATTTGTCCAGTTTACATCACCTGATTGGAGTGTGTTCTTTTCAAACTTGTTACATATCGGTGTGATTTATCTTGAAGATCTTTATTTTTTTCTTTCTCTATGTGTAATTTATTATCTAGTAAAAATAAGATATAAGAACGAACCTAAATTTCCAATCCCCTAAAAGTAATCAATTTTTATCTACTTCGAGAATTTATACTTTGATAAAACCTACTTTAATATTTATTACTGCACTGAAGAAAAATCCAAATCAAATTATAGTAAAAAGTACCGGCCGAAAGTGAAAATGGATTTTACAGTAAAAAGTACGGGCCGGTACTTTTTACAGTAAAATCCATTTTTTCCGGAATATGTTACGAAACAAAAAAATCTGATATAAGTAGTTCGTACGTTGATTTAATTTCTNATTACAGAAAAAATTGCGGTGCCAATACTTACGGTGTCGGTACTTTTAACAGTAAAATCCATATTTACTGAAACACATTACGATACAAAAAACTGATATATCATAATTTTTACAGGTATCTTACCGTAAAATCACTGAATCACTCTAGTTAAGTAAATATTGCTGTAAAAAATTGTTCATAGTATTTTTCGGTAAAAATACTATACATAATACCGCACAATATGTATAATGAAAAACCCTACGTGCCAGTTCTTCCTACTCGTAATTCGCTCCAGAATTGTTACAGTGTTAGTTCCAATTCACTCATTTTAAAGATGATGAAGGAAGAAAAAAAATAAAAACTTCCACACAATACTTATTACTTTTTTCGGAATTTTACCTGTTTTTTTGTCCCCCTTCTATTTGTCTATCTCGTTCTTGCTTTCTGGGATATTTTCAGAGATTTTGAAAGACAGTGCATATTAACACACACACTTACAGAAGGAAGGGCCGAAAAAATATTCATAATTTCATAAATTCAAAAATTATGTTAATTTTAATTTTGAATTTAATTAAACTGTTTAAGGTACAGTATAAACCAGAAACACTACTTACAAACCAGGGAAATGTTTAGATTAGTTTTCATTATAAGCTACAATGCTGATGTTAGTTGCATACTATTGAATTTTTAATTTTGATTATTTGAAAACTCTCTTTTGGATATTATTTTCGAATGAACTTGGGGAAATTGAATAAAAAATAAGTAATAGTCATTAAAATAAATTGAATGACTCCTTATTTTAGTAAGGTTTTGTAATTATATTTTTTTAACAAATGGATTTTTTTGATTATTTGCTCGGAATTTAAAGCCAGATGCCATGTACTTTTTAATGGAATCAGATTGTTTATCATTACATATTAATTTTATTGAAATTTTTTATTGTTGGAGAAATGTAAACAAGGAAAAATCATCTCTGCCGTTTTTATATATTTAGCATTTCTATTTATTTGTTTAACATAGTTTTTCGAAGCTCTGACAACAAAGAAAATTTTTTAAAAAAAAGTGACAATTAAAGTGTCTTACACTTGAAGCAAAGCGATAATTTTAAACTTTATATATCATCTTGCTGTGAAGAATTATCTAGGCTTTAGAACGGACGAATAACTTAATAATATGTAAGTTATTAAACTATTTTAAAAATTGCCAATTTGGCGACATTTTCCCACCTAGATGAAAATCATTGGCTTATTCTCAGCTTTTGTAAAAAAAAAATATTTGAGTTCAGATAATGCTGCATTGGAGTAAGTTAAGTTATTAAATATTCAAAAATTAGGCTACAAGCACTTTCATTTCCACAAATCTGTGGCTTTTCTCCGTGTTGACATTTTGCGCCATTTTCAGCAAATCAAAGCAGTTACGGAAGTAGTATATTACTCGCAAAAAGTCATCATTTCATTCGACGACGGAGCCTTCGTAAAACAATCTTGAGAAGAAAGATGAGTTCTTGTTTCTAAAACTTTTTTAATTTTAAATGTGTTTTTTAAACCTCAATTTCGCTGCCCCGTGAATCGCATCAAAGAATAATCAACACGGTTACGGTGTCTGATTGCTGTGTAGTTGACCGTCGTGGGAAATGGATGTTTTTAAGGGTACTTTTTTTCGCCACCAGGGCGCTTTTTTTTTAAACAAACCAATGTTGTTGTTTTTTTTAATTTTTGTGTCGTGGTATGCTTGTTTTAATGCTTATTTTTACTGTTCCATTGAGTTCTATAAAAAATTAAATATTCGTTTTCAAGTATGCTGTTTTTGGAGGGGAAAAAAGATAATTAAATAATTGAAATAATTTTAAATTATGCTTATTTGTACCTTGTTAATCTGTTTCTTAACATTATTATTTTTTAAAATACCGTTTCCGTGGTCCAGGTATTTTTACTATATTTGCAAATTATTTTAACTTAATCAAGTCTGGAGTCATAAAATGCATTTATATAAATCAAATTTTTACTTCTCTAAACATGACTAGATGAGACAAATAGAAAGATTTTATTATGAATAATTTTAATGTTATTTTGGAATAATTTAAGATTTCTTCCTGAACAATTTGGAGTTTTAATGTGTATTTTAGAATAAATTAAAGTTATTTAGAATGTAAAAATTTGAATTCAATATATTTTAAAAATAATTGTTACCTTCAATATCGATTATGACGTAACTAAAACCCCTCTTCGATTATCTTGTAAATCTTACAAGTTACTCTAACGATTTTTTTGTTAATTTTCCTTTACGATTTTTGCTTTTAAACAAAATCGAATCATTTTAGATACTCCCATCACTTTCAACCCGTCACACAATAAATAAATGATCAAAACTCCTTCAACAAATTGAGTTTACCTGACTCACTCTAAAATCTAAAACAAGGAGGAAAAAATGGAGTTTTCGCACATCAACTGAGCATTAAAAATTAACTATTGCATTTTCACTCTCTAAAAGTGAATCTTCAGTTTACGTACGAAAAGTCTCATTTATCGTTCTCTCCAAGGTTCCATGTCTACTCCAACTGTGAAAAAACCATCTTAAAAGTTTCCCTGCTGAAACACAATTAGCAAATATTACCGGCTCAAAGTATATGAGATGGCTCGCCTCATTGGATGGCTCCTCTCACAAACAAGAAGCTACCGAGGCTCCGTTGTCCCATTATTTATGCAAGAAGGAACTTCTCATAAAATGACTCATTTGAATCCATAAAATCTTTAATCAATGAAGAGGTAGAGGCTCATAAAACTCTTCCCACCCCTCTGAACAGATCATAATATAGTTTTTTTCGTAATTGCTGTTGTTCAGAATTTTTAAAAGCATAAGATGCCACCGTTGCATTTTTTTTCTTCTTCTTTTTCTTTTGGTTGTTGTTTATTACCATGTTTGGAGATGGAGGTATCGCTTTATATGAATTTCATCAATTCGATTCCTTGCTCAGGAAGTATTTAATTTGCTGATGCGACTGGCTTCTCGAATATAAAGTTTCTAATTAAAGGAGTTCTCGAATTTTTATGAATTGAAAACTGGCTTTCGGTTAGTTTCGTACGGT